TAAACAAGGCATTGTAAGAATTCCAAGGAGAAACCGTGTAAGTGTCTAGATTGTGAGAAAAGCTTCATTAGAAATTTCCATCTTAAGAGACACCACAGAACTAAATCAGAATAGAAACTGTTTGAATGTCCTGATTATGGGAAAGTCACAATTCCAGCCTGGTGATACAGCAGAAGACTCACATAGGAGATAAATGCTTTGAATGTCCAGATTGTTGGAAAACTTTCAGTTATAATTCCAACTTGGTGATATATCAGAGGAATCACAAAGGAGAAAAACCCTTTCAATGTCCTGACAGTGGGAGAACTTTCAGTCATAATTCGTGCCTGGTAATACAGCAGAGGATTCACTCCACGGAGAAACACTGTGAGTGGCGAGATTGGAGGAAAGGTTTCATTAGAAATTCCCAACTCATGAGACACAAGACCACACACACAGGAGAGAAACCCTTTGAAAGTCCTGTCTATGGGGAAAGCTTTAATTAGAATTCAAATATGATGATACGCCAGAGGACACACACAGGAGAGAAACCCTTTGAATGTCCTGACTGTGAGAAAAGATTCAGACAGAATTCCCACCTGGTGATACACCAGAGGTTTCACACAGGAGAGAAACCCTTTGAATGTCTTGATTGTGGGAAACGTTTCAGTCAGAATTCCCACCTGGTGATACACCAGAGGACTCACACAGGAGAAAAACCCTTTGAATGTCCAATTTGTGGGAAAAGTTTTAGTGATAATTCTAGCCTGGTGACACACCAGAGGACTCACACAGGAGAGAAACCCTTTGAATGTCCTGATTGTGGGAAAAGTTTTACGCAGAGTTCCCATTTGGTGACACACCAGAGGACTCACACAGGAGAGAAACACTTTGAATGTCTGGATTGTGGGAAACGTTACAGTCAGAATTTCTACCTGGTGATACACCAGAGGACTCACACAGGAGAAAAACCCTTTGAATGTCCTATCTGTGGAAAATGTTTTAGTGATAATTCCAGCCTGGGGAAACACCAAAGGACTCACACAGGGGAGAAACCCTTTGAATGTCTTGACTGTGGGAAAAGTTTCACTAAGAATTCCAATATGGTGATGCATCATAGGACTCATACAGGAGAGAAACCCTTTGAATGTACTATTTGTGGGAAAAGTTTTAATCGCAATTCTACACTGGTGCTACACCAGAGGACTCACACAGGGGAGAAACCCTTTGAATGTCTTGACTGTGGGAAAAGTTTCACTAACAATTCAAATATGGTGATACACCATAGGACTCATACAGGAGAGAAACCCTTTCAGTGTTCTATCTGTAGGAAAGGTTTTCATGATAATTCCAATCTGGTGAGACACCAGAGGATTCACACAGGAGAAAAACCCTTTGAATGTCCTATCTGTGGGAAAGGTTTTAGTGATAATTCCAGCCTTGTGAGACACCAGAGGACTCACACAGGAGAGAAACCCTTTGAATGTCCTATCTGTGGGAAAGGTTTTAGTGATAATTCCAGCCTGGTGACACACCAGAGGATTCACACAGGAGAGAAACCCTTTGAATGTCCTGACTGTGGGAAAAGTTTCTGTCAAAATTCCAGCCTAGTGATACACCAGAGGACTCACACAGGAGAGAAACCCTTTGAATGTCCTGACTGTGGGAAAGGTTTCAGTCGTTATTCCAGCCTAGTGATACACCAGAGGACTCACACAGGAGAGAAACCCTTTGAATGTCCTGACTGTGGGAAAGGTTTCAGTCGTTATTCCAGCCTAGTGATACACCAGAGGACTCACACAGGAGAGAAACCTTTCGAATGTCCTGACTGTGGGAAAAGTTTCAATCAGAATTCCGACGTAGTGCAACACCAGAGGACTCACACAGGAGAGAAACCCTTTGAATGTCCTGACTGTGGGAAAGGTTTCAGTCAGAATTCCCACCTAGAGGTACACCAGAGGACACACACAGGAGAGAAACCCTTTGAATGTCCTGACTGTGGGAAAGGTTTTAGTCAGAATTCCAACCTAGTGATACACCAGAGGACTCACACAGGAGAGAAACCCTTTGAATGTCCTGACTGTGGGAAAGGTTTCAGTAACAGGTCCAAACT